CTCCTCTGTGTCATTGGGGATGTTACCACGGTAGATACTGGACGGGAAAATACTGCAACAACAACACAATTGTCAAGTGTTTGTTTGCTCTTGATCAGGTCTAACACTGATCTCTTAGATGTATATCATTCATTAACTGTTGATTTCACATCAGAACATGATAAAAAATAATTTATACCGTATTTATGATTTAATGCTGTAAGTGCCCACCTTACAGATGTCCCTGGCCTGTCACCTATCTTCTGTTTTGCAAGCTGATTCAAGATCGATTCACAACGTTCACCTCCTTCATCCAGAAAAATTACCTAAAATCATACAAATAAAGATTCTATATATGTAAAACTTTAATCCCTGATTTTAGCCCCATGGCCCATGCATCTGACTTTCAGTCTGCTTTCTCAAGATTTTTTTATGCAATTGAACAAATTTGAAATTCATCTTTCTGGCCCAGTGGTACTCAAGATGAAGAGTTTTAAAAGTTGTCACTACTTTGGGATCAGTAATATTTCTTGTGAAAAGTTTACAGACAGACATTCATCAGGATACACGTACAGATGAATGCAGGACAAAATGAGATAAACAAGAGGCCCAAGGGCCTTGAATCGCTCTTCTGATAAATTGTACAATCTATCACTTCTATTTGAAGCCTCTAGCCCTAAGTATCCTAAGACCCAAGTTGCATCAACTAACAAAGTTTGATGATTCTTAGCCAATTAGGACTGAAGATATTTTAATAATAAAGCTATAAAAAAAACCATAAGTACGTCACAGTGACCTACTTTAAGATTGAAGTTTTCTGAGGACTGAAGATGCATTAATAGACAAAGATTGAAGATTCTAAGCCAATAAGTATTTGAGATATTTAAAAGTAGGTCACCGTGACCTACTTTTTTGTATACATTCTTTGAAAACCCAAGATACATCAACTGACAAAGTTTGATGATTCTAAGCCAATAAGTACCTGAGATATTCAAAAGTAGGTCACCATGACCTACTTTTTGGTCCACATTCTCCGAAAACCAAAGATGCCCCAACTGACAAAGTTTAACAATTCTCTAGGTCAACCAGTACTTGAGATATGAAAATAGCCATAAAATGTCAAAAGTAGGTCAAGGTGATGTAATTTTTGGTTTGCGATCCCTGAAAACTCAAGTTGCATCAACTGACAAAGTTTGATGATTCTAAGCCGATATGTACCTGATATACTTAAATATACCCATAAAATGTCAAAAGTAGGTCACCATGACCTACTTTTTTGTCTACATCCTTGGAAAACCCAAAATGCATCTACTGACAAAGTCTGATTATTCTAAGCCAATAAGTATTCAAGATACTTAAATATAGCCATATAATGTCAAAAGTAGGTCACTGCGACCTAATTTTTGTAGACGATTTTCGAAAACCCAAGATACATCAACAGACAAAGTTTGATGATTATAAGCCAATAAGTACCTGAGATATTCAAAAATAGGTCACGATGACCTACTTTTCGTTCGACATTCTCTAAAAACCCAAGATGCATTAACAAGCAAAGTTTGATGATTCTAAACCATTTGTACCATAGATACTTAAATAAAGCCATTAAATGTAAAAAATTAGGTCACTGTGACCTACTTTCTGGACATCATTCTCCGAAAACCCAAGATGCATCAACTGATGAAGTTTGATGATTCTAAGCCAATAAGTACTGTAGATACTTAAATAAAGCCATAAAATGTCGAAAGTAGGTCACAGTGACCTACTTTTTGGTCATCACTCTCCAAAAACCTAAGACGCATCAACTCACAAAGTTTGATGATTCTAAGCCAATAAATACCTAAGATACTAAAATATAGCCATAAAATGTTGAAAGTAGGTCATCGTGACCTACATTTTGGTTGACATTTTTCAGAGTCCCAAGATGCATCTGCTGACCAAGTTTGATGATCCTAGGTCTGAAGGTAATCAAAATATGCCTTTTTAAACAATTCAAAAACAAATGCCTGCAAAATTCAAAAAGTAATTCACAGTGACCTACTTTTTCATAAATACGTTTTAAGGTCCAAAGATGCATCAACTTACAAGATTTGATGATTCTAAACCTCTCAATGTCTGAAATAATGGGATTAAATGTTATAAAAAGAATTAGTCATCAAGTTCAAAAAGTAGGTCACGGTGACCTACTTTTAAGTTGTCGTTGTTCAAGGACCCAAGATGCATCAACTGACAAAGTTTGATGATCATAGGCCTTAAAGTGTCCAAAATATGCCTTCAAATCAATTTTTTTAAAAATGCCCACAAAATTTAAAAAGTAGGTCACCGTGACCTACTTTTGTGTTAACATGATGTGAAGTCCTAAGATGCATCAACTTACAAGATTTGATGATCCTAGTCCTAAAACTAAGCAACATATAAACGTTTTTAATATTTGTAAATTTAGGTCAACTTTGAAGTGACCTTGAGACCACGCCCTTTGCCCAAGGGTGATGCCTTGAACAATTTTTAATCTTCGACATATCCTGATCCTTGTATGTAAGTTTGGTGAAAATCTGCCTGGTGGTTCTGGAGAAGAAGATTTTTTAGCAACCAGTACTTTTCGTTTTGTTTTCCTGATTATCTCCCCTTGTTTAAGGGTCCCAACCCTTATTTTAGTATAAAAGGTAGCCCTTGGGCCAAGGATACCCTGTGACAAAGAGTTTGATACTGATTGGCCAAGGGGTTCTTGAGTTATGGCCCATATTCTAACAAGAGGCCCAGGGGCCACAGCGCTCACCTGAGCACATCAGCTCGGAAAAAAACACATCAGATCAGAACTGAAAGTTTACTGAGGGGGGGGGGGGGGGGGGGGGGGGGGGTACTTGAAAAGAAGATTTAAAAAGGTTTCCCTATATATTTCTATGTAAAACTGTGGTCGGCCATTTTTGCCACACCCTTACCCTGGGGTCATGACTTGAACAAACTTGAATCTACACTACCTGAGGATAATTTCACATGAGTTTCATCTTTCCTGTTTCAATGGTTCTTGAGAAGAAGATTTTTTAAAGATTTTTCCTATATATTCCTAGTATGTAAAACTTTGATCGGCCATTTTGGACCCGCCCTACCCCCGGGGGTCATGACATGAACAAACTTAAATCTACACTACCTGAGGATGATTCCACGTAAGTTTCATCTTTCCTGGCCCAGTAGTTCTTGAGAAGAAGATTTTTAAAGATTTTTCCTATATATTCCTATGTAAAACTTTGATCGGCCATTTTGGCCCTGCCCTACCTCCGGGGGTCATGACTTGAACAAACTTGAATCTACACTACCTGAGGATGATTCCACATGAGTTTCATCTTTCCTGGCCAAGTGGTTCTTGAGAAGAAGATTTTGAAAGATTTTTCCTATATATTCCTATGTAAAACTTTGATCGGCCATTTTGGCCCCGCCTTACCCCCGGGGATCATGACTTGAACAAACTTAAATCTACACTACCTGAGGATGATTCCACATGAGTTTCATCTTTCCTGGCCCAGTGGTTCTTGAGAAGAAGATTTTTTAAAAATGCCAATAATTTTTCTCTAATTCATGATTATCTCCCCTTGGAAAAGGGCGTGGCCCTTCATTTGAACAAATTTGAATCCCCTTTACCCAAGGATACTTTGTGCCAAGTTTGGTTGAAATTGGCCCAGTGGTTCTTGAGGAGAAGATGAAAATGTGAAAAGTTAACGACGACGACAACGACAACGACAACAACAACGACGACAGACGACGGACAAATTTTGATCAGAAAAGCTCACTTGAGCCTTCGGCTCAGGTGAGCTAAAAAGTTAATGCACACCGCACACCGCACAAATGGCCATAGCATTAGCTCTTTGAGCCTTTGGCTCAGAAGAGCTAAAAATTGTGATGACAAATGAACAATTACATCATTAAGATGACAACTGGATAATTATGGTGATCTTACCTGATAGAATTCTCCATTTTCTGTCTTTTGAACAGAGAAGTTATCAATAGAGAAGGATTCTACAATGGCCTTCACTGTCTAAAAGTAAAAAGAAAGCAATTTCAAATGCACCATACATGAATTACACTAATCTTTTATTCAATACTGAACTCGGAATAAATTATTTTCAATTATTCTTTCATGTTTCTGAGAAAGTTTATAAATCTTTATAAATTAATAGGATTATATTCTCTACTGTTTAGAATTCAATATTTCCCGTTTGTGTACCTCTACCAGTGGTTCCTCATCTAGAAAGCTGACAGTCTGAAAGTTAACGTTTTCCACCTCCGAGAGTCTGTCGTCAGACAGGGATGCTGGGACGGGGAGTTTCTCGTGGAGCCTGAGGGGCGGGACAGATTCCGACTTCTCTAAGTGTTTAACGGTGTCCTCAATCTGATTCTGTCTACTTAAAGCTTCATCCAGTTGGAGACTGTCCTCTGCTGCTTTCTCGACTTGAAATTTCTTTTTTGGCGGTGCTGTGCTTTGTTCTCCATCCTCCCCTCCTTCCCCCTTGTTAACATCTCCATTCTCATGTGGTTCTACTGACTTTTCTTCCAGGAGTTCTTTCTCCTTTTCAATATTGTTATTTTCTGTTTTACTATCATTAGATCCCACTGCCTCTGCAGCTGAAATGTCTGTGTTATTCTGTACTGTTGCCTCACATTGCTGTTCAGGGTTTAAAGGTATCTGTTCTGAATCTTTTTCTTCATTGTTATTCTCACGGCTGATGGCAGCTTTTAAAACATCTGCAAATGAAACATTCTGTGTTGTGTTCTCTTCTGTCACCGTTTTATTCTGGTCTAAGGTCTCATTCCCATTAGAAGATTGCCCTGGATCTGCCTTATTAGTACTCTCAGCCTTGCCGCCTTCATTTTCACACAATATCTTGTCTTTTTCTTGTTTTTGTGTCACATCCTCATTGTCACTAGTTTTACCCTGTGCTCCTGTTGTATCGCCTAGTTCCTTATTTGTGTCTTCGTCCCCAAAGTCCCAATCATCATCGTCCTGCGTTTCCTCTACTTTCGGTTTCTGCTCCTTTAACTCGTCTTCCTTGACTTTTTCTGTCTTAGTCAAGTTATCACTGTCAAGATCCGCGTGTTCTTCGTCGTCTGTCACATCTAATTTTTCGTTTGATTTATCATCTTCGTTCTTAGTCTCCTTCTCGCTACTGTCATCGTCCGACTTTTCTTCAGACGCCGACTTTGACGGTCGTTCATCCTCGTGAACTGGAATCTTAACAACAAACAAAAACGAAGTCATTTCGTACGCTGTGCATTAACATTATTGCTGAAAACAGCTTCACTTGTTACTAGAATTCTTATCTTTTTATCTTTCTTCCAAATTTTCGGTGTCTTTTGCGGCCATCTTTAAAACTCTATTTTGTAAGTCAACACCGGATGCCCGATTTCCGGAAACGCAATAAATAAAAAACTAGAGGTACTGTGAGCGATTAGCTCACTAAATGATACCCCCCGCCTCCCATATGGTTATAACTGGTGAAAAAGTCCATGTTTTCCTGTCGCCGGGAAACCCAAAATATGTGTCGGATCAAAAAGTAAAATAGGAGGTGCACAATGGCAACATGTAACTAGTGCTAATTGTAACGGATACCGTTACAGATGTTCCCCAAACGCTCCCCAACTCCCTTTTGGAGCCATATTCCCTGTAAGCTTCATTAAATAAGACAAACTCTATGCATCTGAGATTTTAACAACATTTACAAAGAAGTTATTAAATTATTAAAAAAAAAATACGCTCATTCAAGTGTATGTTTGATTTTACTCATTTCACGTGCACGCACGTGCATACATAAGCATGGTGACCATACCTTCTTGTAGAAGTCCATTACATTTATCTATGTTCTAAATTCCACCCCGTTTGGGTGAAAACTAAGGGAGTTATAGCTGTTTAAAGTTTCAGCCAATCAGATTGCAGCACATGTACACGCACGTGCATGCATGTGTATGGTGACCATACCTACTTGTAGAAGTCCATTATATCTATCTATGTTCCAAATCCCATCCTGTTTGGTTGAAAACCAAGGGAGTTATAGCTGTTTAAAGTTTCAGCCAATCAGATTGCAGCGCACGTGCATGCACGTGTTTTCATGATAATTGCTTTATTTCATCTTGTAGGATATCCTAATGCATGGCTATGTTCAAAATTTCAAAGGATTTCGTCAAAAAACAAGAAAGATATTGAGACTTAAGTTTCAGCCAATCAGAGCGAAGTGCACGTGCATGCGCGTGAGATCTTGCTACTTTGACCATGTCATCATGTCTATACTACTAATATATCCTCACATTATGAGTTTCAAAGCATTTCATCTAAAAATAGAATAGTTGTGGCTATATCTATTATATTGGTCATTTCACGTGTTGCACGTGCACGCTCTTGCAAGCACGTGCGCGCAAAATGACCTTGATTCCGCAAATCTACATAACATGTCTACTAACCCTAAAAAGGTTTTACCTACATCGGACGAACAGTTTACAAGATCATTCCCGGACAAAAAAGTTCCAGGAAGAAGAAGAAGAAGAAGAAGAAGAACTAGATGCGTTCTTGTTGCTAGGGCAACAAGTAGGTCTTCCGACCGACTTTTCTTTAGAGTTCTATGCTGTGTCATCCCATGAAATAGATTTCAGAATGTATTTTTTCGCTTACGTTCATTTACAGTAGTTTCACAACACAGATCGTGATTGTTCCAGGTATTTCACAAAATATCTCCAAATATAGCTTTTAAAAATCGGCAAAATGTTCCACACATGTTTTAAAAGAGTGAAAAGAAATTTGCAACTGAAAAAAGACAAAAAGAAAGAAAAAATTTGGGGAACGCCCCGAGCGGGATTCGAACCCCCGACAGTAAGACAAAGTTTGGTTCGGTCATATCTTTGCAATAAACACATGCATGAAGAAAATGAAAACATATATAGATATCTTTGAAGACGCCCTATAAACCCTGTAAATCCGAAAGAAAAATATTAAAAAACAAAAAAGTTGAAAAATTGGACTTTTTGAATTCACTTCCGTTTGCGACCGGAAGTAGGAACGACAAAAAATGAAGGACGTTCGGCACATCTACATGTGATGTTCTTTCATGTCCATAAGATTCAATGTCATATCTTTAGCCGTTTTCGAGAAAAGTAGTGTACAAAAATCCATTTAAAAAATACAAATTTCCCCAAAAATCGCGAACGGAAGAAAATTTTGAAAAAATGAAAAACACGTCTGGAGATATTAACCTGGTGCATCTTTCCTGTAAAAATCTTTGAAATCCGTACAGTCACAGCTGAGATATCGCCATAAAAATGAAAAAAAGAATAATAATAATAATAATAATAGGAAACCGACGGAAAACAATAACCCAAGTGAAAATTTTTTCAAACAAATCACTCACAAATTGCCTACGAATTACTTTAAAATCATTTATAAGTGATTTGTTTCAGTGATTTGTAAGCAATTCATTTAACAAATCATGCTTAAATCACTTTCTACTAAAATGATGACTATGATTTGCTTACAATTTGTTATAAAAGGGTGATTTGCTTGTGATTTCTTTCCCATTTCAGACAATTTCTGAGTGATTTGTTAAACTTAGGAAATTGTTACAGTGATTTCTTCATGATTTGTTGAACTTAGCCATTCTTCAAGGTGATCTGAACATGATTTCTGGAACTTAGTCTTTCTTCAGGGTGATTTGAAGATGATTTGTTAACTTAGTCTTTCTTCAAAGTGATTTGTAAATGATTTGTTGATCTCATGGCCCTTCTTCCGCCTGGCTAATGCTGATTGGTCAGTATTAGAAACTCTACCGCCAATTTTCATTAATCAGATTTGAATTGAAATGAAAGGAGCTACATTGTGCTTTTCTAGATTCATACCTCTCTTCTTTTGTTGAAACTGATGTTTTTTCAATAAACATGCAGAATATAGTTTTAAGGTATGTATAACTGTATTATGCTATCATTTCCTCTTGAGATTCAGTTAATATTCCCTATGTTCACATGCAATTTATTGTTCTTCTACCAACAACAAAGTTGCGGTATCAATGTTTTAAACAAAATCTATGTAAAGCTATAAGCTTCAAAAAAGTACTGGCTTTTTCAAAGTGTCTAGACAAATATGTATTTCAGATAAGAAAACATATACCAACTTCTAAAAGTCAACAATTAATGCTTATATCATATTCTGAATTTGGAGCCAAGTACATGTGTATATATACATGATGCCATCTTAATGAGGACACATCTAGTAAAAGTTTATATTTTAAAATACACTTGCCAAAAGTTTTTTGTTCATATACAACAAATACCGGTATGCATGCATGTGTGTTTCAAATATTTGAGGGATGGTTACATGAGCATCCTACACACAAACTGTGTGTAACCACCTGGAGTGATTTGAAAGTGATTTGTTAAACTGAAGTGATTTGTTTGCAATTTATTTGAAATGATTTGTTTGCAATTTATTTGGAGTGATTTGGTTGCGATTTGTTCAACAGAAGTGATTTCTACACGATTTACTCAGTGATTTCGTTGTGATTTCAGGGTGATTTGCTTACAATTTGTTAGGAGTGATTTGTTAGCTCATTTGCATGGGAATTTGCATCACTTACAAATCATCTTCAAATCACTGATTCATTAGTGATTTCTTAGAGTGATTTGTTTGAGGATTTTTTTCACTTGGGAAGGTCTTCCGAAGGAAGTCGGAAGACCTTAAAAATAATAATAATAAGAAACAGAGTAAAAACAATATGTTCCCCAACTTCGTTTGGGGAACATAATAAAGATTCTGTGAAAGTTTTATCAAATTTCATTCAGTGGTATGAGAGGAGTTGCGGATAAGAGATGGGTACCCCAAAGCGTAACAGACGGACGGACGGACGGACGGACGGACAGACGGACGGACGGACGGAATTAACGATTACTATATACCCTCCCGCTTTTCAAGCAGGGGGTATAAAGAGAGAGAGAGAGAGAGATCTAGAGATTTGTATATCAAGATTATAGAGAGACATCTCTATTGACTTACTGTTTGTGAAAACTTTTTCCGATAATCCGTAGACAATTTATTAGATCCTCTAACTCAAGGTATAGAGTAGTAACTGCATGGGCTTTTAAGTGTTCCAAAGAACATTTAGGTATCATACCCCAAATCAACCATTTAATATATCGATCATATTGTTCTGCCTCTGTGCAGAGTGTTTACCAAACCAACAAACCAAAACAATAAGGGCGGATCACTCTTTATTGCATCGATGCTTGTATGTGTATGGTAAAAGACTGAAAATAATAAAGAGACAAAACTTACAAACAGATTCATACAAAATCAGTGATACCCAATTAACCCTATTTTACATTGTAAGTGACAAATTATAGACAAACAAGAATGATATCCAAATTTAGTGAACATTTTTCCAATTTAAATTCAATCATAAACTGGCCTATCATAAAAAATTAAAATGCGCTCTTAGTAACATGTAGGTTATTTATCACATAAACTGAGAAACAATATAGCGTTTACATACATAGCAGATTTTTACTTAACCATTTACTTTCTAATACACATCGAAATCTATTTCCCTATCTGATCAAAAGTAAACCGTAAAATATAATGTTAGATAATACATAAAAACTTACTTATGGTGCAGGGATGTACCCGTAAAAGTGAAAAATAGGTTACAACAATGCTTGGAAAAAGCGAAAATGGCCTCCTAGCCTCATGTAGGAACAACATAAAATATTCTAAAAAACAAACCGTAAAGGGTTACATACCCGGAATAATGATCACAATGTAGAAAGAAAGATAACTCTTACGAGGTATAAATTGTGTAACACTACACTCCCCGCCTGATATGAAATATCACACCCTTACAAGCAAAACAAATGTATACATTATCCTTAACTGAGGATACCTACAATGCACAAAATGTAGTTACTTTAACTCCATACATAAACTAGTCATTCAACTTTTCACAAAACAGTTAGTTGTGATTTGACAGCAAAAGCACAATCTGGGTAATTGGTCGCACATATGTTCTCTTTGCTCCATCTTTGAATGTCATAAGTTCGACCTTTCTCACGAGATGATCCTCGCTAGGGAACACACGAGTAACACGACAGAGAGGCCAGAAGTTCCGATGCTGTTCCGCGTCCTTCATAAGGACAATATCTCCTTCTTGAACATTTGGTTTGGTATCGGCCCACTTTCTGCGTTCTTGTAGCGACTGGAGGTACTCCTTGCGCCATCTGTCCCAAAAT